ATTTTATGTGACTTCCAGTATATAAAGTACTAAATCCGTGCTACATGGGTTGGAGTAAGGATGGGGGTGGAGGTTAGCCCATCCACCATTTCTACCAGCTTAGCTTCCATTGCTGCCTCCAAATTAGTCTAACCACTCCAGAAAACCCCAGGTAGTCTCATGGTTTGTGGTTTTCAACCATGGATGGCCTTATGGACCAACTAGTTAGTAGTGTCTTAGTTTAAAGAGTTGTTTCACTTAATGTTTTTGGGATTTGAGTAGAAGCATTTCAAGATACTGACAAAATCTAACAAGGTCTTCCCACTCTTCCTATGATGAACCTCTTAGGAAGGTCTTAGAACTACTGTATAAACTTATTATTGTGTCTGATCAACAATAATCATTAGAATTTTGTGTTTTCTTATAGATTGAAGTATTTAAGAACCAAGACAGGTTATTAATCTTTTGTTTTTGAAATTGTCTTCAAGTATGCTACTGTGGCAGTACCTCCCGAGATGTGTTATGTGGAACAGACACAGGAAAATCTGATGGATTTGGGGACTTTAGCTGTTTAAAGATATGTGGCAAGTAAGGCTTTATGCTTATCTCAGTTAGAATAAAGCTGTATTTTATGCAACAATTATATAATAGTCTGTTGTTTTCCTTAACAGGGACTTGAAGTGTGGGAACCATATGTGTTCTCAAGTGTGCCACCCTCAGCCCTGCCAGCCATGCCCACGACTCCCCCAGTTGGTGCGCTGTTGCCCTTGTGGCCAAACTCCTCTCAGCCAATTATTAGAACTTGGAAGTAATGCTCGGAAAACATGCATGGATCCTGTCCCTTCATGTGGAAAAGTGTGCGGCAAGCCTCTGCCTTGTGGTTCCTTAGGTAACTAGTAGGCATAAAGTTACCTTTAAAAATATAAATGTAAATGTTTGCTATAATGACTACTTAGGCATAGTAGTAATAGGCAAAATACTTGGAAAAATTTAAATTAGTTATAGCAGAGGTTTTTCTAAATATTCAGATTAAATTTGTGTGAGTGCTTTTCTTTCCTCCTTTGAGCATAGTTGTTAAAATTCACATTTACCCAGTTTCTTTTTCAGATTTGGGCGTTTCTTGCTAACTAAGATTAATTGTGGTGATACTATTCTGTGAGGGAAAAATTTCTTACACTCATAAGAATATCAGATATCCTTTTACTACCGCTCAGCATTCAACAAGAATTTAAGACATTTTCATATGATAGGAACATGTTAAGATAATTATAGGTGAGTGTTTAAGAACTAAAATTCTTAGTTCTTAAACTTTGGACCAGTTCTTAAACATTTGGACCAGTCGTTAATAGCTTAGTTTTCCATCTACCTGACAATAGTACTTTCTGAGCATCATTTTGGGTGGACATTTTTCTAAAATTTACTTTCTTTTCTTTACTCAAATAGAGGTTACTCTAGATAATTTCTTTCCCTTTGTTGACTCAGAGTCACTGTTTCCCTGAACTCTAGCTGTCTTATATAGAAAACAATGATACCCACAGGGCCTGCTTAGGGGATCTCCAGCATGGCAGTTTTCCTTACCTTTGTATAGTTTGAATTTTTTATTGACTTGTTAAAAGTTTTTTGTTGTTTATTTTCTTGGCAGTGCTTAATTTAGCATACCCATTGCTTTCCTGCTGACTTATGGCTTCTGATCACTTGGATATAGAAACTAGAAAAAGGTAGTTAGAATTAGCTCAAGAGTAATAGTCTGAGATCATGAAACTTTCTGAAGCATTACTTAAGAAAATTTGTGTGTACAGTTTTGAAACTTCTCTTTTGATTGTTTTATGGTTCTGTGTTAGAAAAATGAAAGAGGGTAATGTGTGATTAAGAGAGGTTCTTATAACAAACTATGGAAAATCCAGCATCTTTTAAGTTTGTTTTCCATTTTTATCAAATATATAGAATTCACATTTCTTCCAGGTGCCAGCAGGAAACAATAGAAGCACCCTTCCTAAATCTTATTTTCAATCTGACTTTAAGATGATGTATAGGGAAGAAATGCTCTCTTCTCATACATTTATATGTGTTATAACTGCATCAGGAAGATCAATTATCTACTGATAATTGTCTGTGTGACTAATGTGAAAATGTACTTTTAGATAAAGTGAAAATGTACTTTTAGATAAACCTTGCAAAATGGAGAGCAAATCAAGGATGATAGGGTCTTCCCTTTTCAGAAAGCCTATGGGTCATTTTTGGAAGAATTTCATATATAATAACCAGAAATGCTACCTGAAGCTAAAATATCTTGGCTGTGAGGTAAAGAGAAAATATAAATGGGTAATGCTGGAGGACTTGAGCAAGAGAAGCACACTAACTCAGAATGAACAGACCTGGAGGTGAAATGAGAGTAGGTCAAGGGATTGGGGGTAAACCACCATACTTTAGCAGAATTTCAGTCATGGAAAACTTTTAAGGAACTAGACTGAGTTGGTTTGAGAAACTCAAAAGACGAGCACATGACTAGTGGTAATAAACTCCTTAAAGTTTATTCAAACTGACTTATTTATAGAAAGCTTGTTAAGCTCTTTTAATATCTCATCCAGTAGGAAATTTCCATCCAGACGTATAGCTATAGTGTCAGGGACTAGTTGGAGTTCTAACCCTAGCTCCCCGAACCCTAGCACTTCTAACCCTAACCTAGGTAGCGTGAGGGTGTATGTGGAACTCACTACCCAGTTTCACAAGTGAAACTGAAGAAAACTATTTTTTTAAAAAAGCACTACTTAACCTGTACCCCTCTCTACTAACCTCCCTTAAAAGCTCTACTCAGGATAAGCCTACCCAAAGACACTTTCTCCACTCTCAGCTTCCAGTCAAGTGTTATCACATCTCAGTGGAGAAGCAAGCTACTAGCATTTTTTATCTTCTCCAACTCCAAGCTGAAGAGGCTAAATTTCTGGTTAGTACAGCTGAAATGTCAGGGCCCCTTCCTCCCCATAGCCTTGTCCATAATGGGAAGCTTCTAACTCAGTCATAACAGGAGAGAATGCTGGGATCCCTATCACTCTTACCTCAGCTCAGTTATAAGGCAAAGGTTCCATGCTCATTCCAAGCCAAGAAAAACAAGTGTTTATTGTCACCTAGTACTTAGAACAGTGATCAAGATGTTTCCTAGGGGAAGAGTCCATAAAAAAAGAGAGCTCCAAAGTACTCCTTAAAATGGGAAGTTTAAGTTAAGGTCTTTGAAATGGGAAGTTTAAGTTAAGGTCCTTTTGGGAAACTATAATTCCTCTTAAGAGTAGTTAATTAACCAGAAATAACCTAGTAAAGAGATAATTAAAAAAGGAGCAAGCCCTCCTGGAGTCAGAATAAACCTCACAGGCTTGTTTAAAGATTACTTCTGTTTATATTACATTGGACCAGTTTGCTGAGTTTTATGCCCCAGGGCATTACTAAAAACCAATAGAGTAATAATCCAGCAGTATGCCTCAAGGCTGAGTTCAATCCCAAATGGTGTCTGTAGCTTAACAAAGACATCAGGAAAGAAGACTGTCAGTCCTCTGGAACCTCTGTCATCTCAGGGTGCATGGGCAAGACTGTCATTCAGAAAGCCACCAGCAGCTTCATTCCTTGGGGGAAATAGTCACTAAAATAGCCTAGTCAACTAACAAATAATCAAGCAAGCAATGAAAAACTAATAGAAAAAAGGATCAAATGACCACATCCTAACTACTATAATATAGTTTTTTCTGTTTTCCCCTTCACCATTCCTGTATTGTATATAAAATAACTGTGCACAAACATGCTGGTTTTTTTTAAACACTGTTTAAATCTGTGCTTTTAAAACTGAATAGCACATGGTATGTTTTGATTTATATCACATAGTGATGGAAGAGAAAAATTACTGGTAATGTGAAACCAGTCCCTTTCTCTATTAGTGATACTCATGTAGGTCTTTATATTCTGGTAAGTTGTTTTGCTTTCACTAATATTTTGTCTTATTGTAACAAAAAAACATTAAAAATCTTTGCATATCTTAAGAGAAAAAAAGGATCAATGCATGTCAATGATTGCTAGATTACATAAAAGAAAATAGAATGAAGAAAAATGAACAATGCCTAAGAGATATGTGGCACATCTTTAAACATACTAACATATGTAATGAGTAGGAGAGGAACAGAAGGAAATCAAGAGAGAAACAGAAGGAAATCAAGAGAGGAGCAGAAGGAAAAGGAAAGAAAAATATTCAAAGAAATAATGGCAGAAAACTTTAGGTTTACTGAAAAACATTAATCTACCCATCCAAGAAGCTCAACAAGCTAATAAGGTAAATTCAGAGCAATCCATACTTAATCACAGAAGAATGCTGAAAGCCATTGACAAGGATGAAATCTTGAAAGTAGAGAGAAAAATGGCTCATCATATATAAAAGGAGTCCTTGTAAGTCCTTTGCTTCTGATCAGAAACAAAGAAGAAACAACCAGAAGGTTTAACATTCAAAGTGCTGAAAGAAAATACTGCCTACCCAGAATCTAATATACAGTGAAGCTATCTTTCAAAAACAAAGATTAAAAAAACAATTCAATGCTAGCACCTTTACTTAGCAGTAAACTAAATTTAGGAAGTTCTTTAAACTGAAAGCAAGTAAACCCAATTGTAAATTCACGAAAAACTAAAGAGTAGGGGTAATTATATGATTACAAGAGACAATGTACTTGAATGTTTCTCTTCTCAACTGTTTTGAAAAGCAGTTATATAAAACAGCATGTATATATATTTTAAAGCCTATAACATTAAGAAATATCTCTGGCAGTAATAGCACAGATGGGTGGCATCAAAGTTGTATTGGAGTTAGGAAGTGATACCATATGGTAACTCAGATCCGCAGGAACAAATGAAGAAAACCAAAAATGAAAATAAGATAAATATAACAAACTAAAAATATATACTTTATTTTTTTTCTCTGCTTTAATAGATCCCATTGTAAAATAATGATTATAACAGTGTACTGCTATAGTTAAATTGGGTTGTTGAAAGTCATGACACATTTTTTTCTATATTTTCAAAGAAAAATTGAGTCATAACTTTTCCAACAACACAATAATATGAGAGTAATGGCACAAAAGAAGAGAGGAAGTAAAGCTAATGTGAGTAAGCCTTCTCTATCTCGCTGGAATTAGGTTAGTTAAATCTTTTTTTTTTTTTTTTAAGAATTATTTTTGCATACAGAACTGGGGTACAGGCCAGATGTGCAGGGGTGGTGAGAGAATTCACCAGAGACAGAGTGAGGAGCAGAACAGGCAAATCGACCAAGTACACTGCTGAGGGGAACAGAGGGCCTGTCAGGAGAGGTCTGCCACGCCATGTGGGTCACCTCTGGGATGGGGATTAAACTCATGCTGAGGTGGCTTTAGCTCCTCAGTGCTGTGCTTTAGCCCACTGCACCACCAGGGAAGGCCAAGTTAGTTAAATCTTAAGGAGATGCTGATAAGGTATAAATTGTAAGCCCTGGAGTAACCATTAAGAAATTATTCCAAGAAATAGAGTAAAAAATAACTTGAATGGAAAAAAGATGTTACACTAGAAAATAGTCACGTAATGCAAAAGAAAGCAGTCAAAGAAGATTAGATTAACAAAAGAGATATCAGACAGAAAACTAAAAGTAAAACAGCAAACATAAATTCACCTGTATTGGTAATAATGTTGTGGACTAAGCAGTTAAAAAGCATAAATTGTCAAACAAAACTAAAAAAAAGAAACATAATCTGATTATATATTAACCTTCAGGAAACAGACTTAAGAATCAAAGATACAATTAGGCTGAAAGTAAAAGGTTGGGGAGAAAATAAGTCATGAAAATAGCAGTCATAAAACTCTGAGGGGTCCATGAAAGATTGAATAGGATGCATCCTAAACTCACTGCAACAGAATTAATGTCAAGACACTAATCACTAAGTATTCAAAGAGTTCTGGTCAATGAGGTCATAGATCATGATTTCTATTAATTTTTAAGTCTCCAACTGAATTTCAGACAGCAGTACTTTAGTAAAAGCACCCATGACTACAATTCTAAGGAGATCCAAGAATAACCTGAGACCTAAATAAGAAGAGAAGATCTGTTCTTTGATTTAGGCAAAATATCATGTTCTCCAAAGCGTATTCTAATGACCAGTGCTGAGTCCTGTCCTCACCAAAAAGAGAAAAGACTGCTGAATAAAGGGAAGATGGGAACGAGACATTTACCACATCCTTCTTTCCCTACACTCTGATTCTAAAGTTGGGAATAGGAGGTGGAAGACTGGTGTGGCTAGTGGGCTGGGGAGTCTGAAAATAAGTAGTTACAATTTTCATTCCCAGCTCTTTTCATTTTTATTAAAGATTTCATTCATACCTGTGAAAAGCTCTGCCATGAAGGAGACTGTGGACCATGCTCTCGCACATCAGTTATTTCCTGCAGATGCTCTTTCAGAACAAAGGTAATTTCCTAAGCAGTGCTAGAGTTGTTGGCACAGATGCCTTTTAAATTGGTGATTATGGGAGGGAAGGAATCACAGTAAGTTCAGTTTTATTGCCATCGTACAGTTTATGATCCATTCAGTCCTGCCAGTGATACCTTCTATAGACTGTTGTAGGATGGGCATTGAGTAGGGTTCAATACTGAATACCCAGAGGCCAGTAATAGAGATAAGGCAAACATACAAATAACTCTACCAAATGTAAGTGTAATGATAGACAGTGGAAGAGAAGAGCACAACTCTTCTGTGAAACACAGTCCACAAGATGGTGTTCACTGCTGACACCCACTGTAAGAGTTTAGACAATTGCTGAATAGGAACAATCCACCTGACCACCTTCACTGCAGGTCTAGTGGCCTCTCCCTCAAGACCTCCCTCAAGGTTTGATAATTTGCTTAAAGGACCTACGTAGCTCATTCAAAGCTGTTGTATGCCTGGTTACAGTTTATCATGGAAAGAGTCTAGATTAAAATGAAAGACAAGAAGCTCTACTCAGAGTAGAGTTCCAGAAAGTGCTAACTGTGAAATAACAGCATCTAGAGCAGTCTAAGAAAATACCAGGTACAAGCTTCCCATTATCTTCTCATTGTGGAGTGGTAACAGCATTATTTTCTCAGCATCCATATGGGATAATAGGCATGGAGTATTGCCAACCAAGGAAGCTCATCCAAGCCTGGGTGTTCAGTTTTCATTGGGGCTCCATCATGGAGGCATGGTTAACTGCCTGAGGTCATGTCCCACTAGAGGGCTACTGATACCATGTGACTCAGAGGCCCTACGCTGAGACTGTCAGTGTGACTGCCCTATACCCTAAATCATATTCAGCCATCTGAATTATATTAAACCACCTAAATCATATTAAACCTAAGGTTTCAGGCAAACAGTACTTTTATTGGCATAACAGTCCAAGATTTAGAGATTATCTCCCAGATGCCAATGACAAAGGCCAGAACTCTCTCTGGTTAAGGTTAATGCTTCACTACACAAATGTTCTGTTGATTTTTACTTCTTGCTCCAGTATTATTCATTGAACTTTGTAATATAAAAGGAGCATCTTAACCTTCTTGGAAATAGTGCCCATTCCTGTTTCTATAACTGGAAGAATCATCCTTCTTGGGGAACTTTTAGGGTAATCTAACTGTGGCACTTACTGAGGGTTGTTCTGTCCTGCTCTCTGACCTGCTTCTGGTCTTATCAGTTCCTCTCAGCACATTTATAGGCTAGAGTGGAGGCAGAATTCTGAGTAGTTGATTCTATTTGTTAAATACAGCCCCAGGTCTTGGGTAGTGGCAGCCAAGTTGCAAGTTATTCTAAGGCTATCATCCATGAATTGGGAACTAGCATAATAGCTAAGCATTAGAACAAAAGGGAAAAATGTAAAAGTAGTGCTGTGTATGTGAGACAGACGTGTGAGCATGTATGGTAGGGGTTCTGAGAGAAAGGTAGAATACAGTAGAACTATTTTTAATGTAGGTGCAAGGCAACTATTTTGAAAATACCAGCAGTATGATTTCTGTTAAAACCTTTGACAAAGTGAACAATCTCTTAAAAATGCTAGTATTCATATCTCATTGCCATATTTTTCTTGAAATGTCTACTGTAATGGGATGGACCTTTCTAGATAATAAAATTTATTTCATAAAGGTTTTTTTTTTTTTAAAGATTTATTTATTTGTGCATACAGAACTGGGGTACAGACCAGAGGCTCAGGGGCAGTGAGAGGCTTCACCAGAGACAGAGTGGGGAACAGAACAGGCAGATCCACGAAGTACACTGCTGAGGGGAGCAGCGGGCCGGTCAGGAGAGGTCTGCCATGCCATGTGGTCACCTCTGGGGCAGGCGGGAATCGAACTCATGTGGAAGTGGCTTTAGCTTCTCAGTGCTGTGCTTTAACCCGCTGCACCACCAGGGAGGGCCTTATTTCATAAAGTTTTAAAGGTTGTTTTCTTAATCATTCTGGTGGGAGTCTTTGAGACATGTTTACTATCTCATACTACCTGTTGACAAAGAATACTGTCATGAATTATTGGTAATTCATTTTATCTTAGGAATTTATGGGAACTCTGCCTTTTTCTACCAATATAAGACCTCTCCATGACATTTCTGTACAATGCAATGTTTGCATTAATTGGCTACTTCAAACAATTTTATGAATCATTTATGCTGTATATCTTTATAAATGCATCTCTACAGAACATGTGGGGTACTTTTTTGTATCCTCAAATCCAGACAACTCATTAATTTATCTCAAACATGTTCCACGAGAAGCTTCAGTTTCTTAGACTTTTTAAAATCTGTTATCAACTCCAGTAGCTACCCCTTTTTTCTCAAAGTCATTTTCACTAAGAATGTTATTATCGTTTTGCTAGTTTGTCTATGGCAATCAGTAAATGACATCAAAGCCAAATTCAGCTGTAGATGTTAAGCAGGTAGTCAGATTCACTGCCCCAGCATGTGACTGACTTGCTTTCTACATTCCGACTCTCTCCCACGTATTTTTCAGATCATGCCTCAGCAAAATTACATATGATAGGCCTTTGGAACCATTCACACATAATTGAAACCACTGTAATAAAACTTTAAGTGCCAAAGGACCATTGTATCCTACCTTACTGCCATTTCACCAGTGGCAGCACTTGAGTATAGAACTGCTTCCCCCTGTGTTAAATGATACCAAGCTGTTACATATTTTCAGTCCTAACATCTGCTTTTAATGGCTTTTTCTGTCAGTATCCTTGCCTGGCAGTCTTTGCATACTTTTCGCAGCCCTTCTTTCCATTCAGATTTTGTAATTTCTTAGCTGCTGTGAGTTTAGATGTCCAAAAATTCATATCACAAATACTGTTATATTTACACAAAAAGTCAGTAAACTTGGGGTCCTATTGTGAGCAAAGTATATTAATGTAGGGACTGTGCTCACCTAACTCCAGACAGGTGAATTTGGTGATAAACTACTTAAGAAGTACAGGCTACTTTGGGATAATTGTTACATTTAGTATTATAATATGTAAGTTGTTTCATTATACTATGTAATTTATTTATTATTAATATAATTGCTATTTCTTTTCTTTTTCCATAGGAACTTCCATGCACCAGTCTCAAAAGTGAAGGTATGACTAGAAAAAGATTTCTGGGGTGAATGCACTATAATCTGATAGGGGGTTGGGTTGTTTATATGTCAGAATTTGGTGAAAATACAGTTTAAAACTTAGGTATTCCATTGTATGTAATTTTCCTTAAAAAGAAAATAATCATAAATTCAATTCTAGTGAATAAAACCTGATAAATTAAGGGGAAATAAATTAATGTCTACAGCTTACTTTGAAATACATCAAAAAAAACTTAAGATAAATTGATAGATGGGAGAAGAAAAATATGTGAAAAAGCAACTAATGATAGAATCTAAGTTTGTTAGGTTCTAACAAATCTATGTTCACTATGACATTGTTTTAACTTTTCCCCCTTTTTGGGTTTTTATGTAAGTACCACTGTATTATAACATAGAAGGTTTCAGGTATACATCATTGTAAATCAACAGCTATATATGCTACGCTAAATTCACTAGTAAAAGTTCATTTCTATCCCTCATCATACAGTTGACCCCTTTTATCAAATTTACTGCCTTTCCTTTTCTGATAACCACTAATTTGGTCTTATATTCTATAAAAGTTTGTTTTTGTCTTACTTGTTTTGTTCATTTATTTTGAGTGAAATCATACAGTGTTTATTCCTCTGTCTTTTTTTATTATGTTTGAGATTTTTGGTAAATGTTGGTAAGGGCAGTGGAGGTAAAAAAATGAAGCCAATATTTTAGCTAATAAAGCCAATATTTTACACAGTGACTGATATTTGATCCCTGTAAGGCTTGAATAGATGTTAGATCCTTGGACAGATTCAGCCAGCATCCTCCCTTACCTTGAGATAAGAATATTTTTTCTTCCTTTGCCCTTGACCCTGACATCCTACTCTGTTGTGGTTCAACCCTTGTTTTGCCAACCACCATATTGTCTTTTATGTAAGCTACCTTAAATTTTTTTTAAATAATATAATAGTTTATTTTTACATCATTTTGTGCCTTTTTCCATCTGTTGTAATCCCCATGGGTTTCCCATCACTAAATCACCCGAGTGCCATCACCATAGTCCCATGGACTCCCCGCCACCATTTTTGATCCCATTCCCCACTCCACCCCCATAAAATGTCTCTAGTATATAGTTGTTCGTTATTATCCCTCCCACACACACACACACCCATTCTTTATTTTTTATACTCCTGCTATGAGTGAAACCATCTGGTATTTTTCTTTTTCTTTCTGGCTGTTTCACTAAGTATGATCCCTTCCAGCTCCATCCATGTTGCTGCAAAAGGCATGAGTTTGTCTTCTTTTATTTTGCTGAGTCATATTCCATTGTGTATATGTACTGCATCTTTTTAATCCAGTCATCTACTTTTGGGCATTTGGGTTGATTCCATGTCTTTCCTATTGTAAATAAAGCAGCAATAAACATAGGGGTACAGTTACCTCAAAACCTTTTTATGAAGTTGATAGAAGATAAATGTTTACAAAAAATAAAAACTCTTATTCTCATCAGGAAGAATGTTTTGGTTAGGATTCATTTGACTTACAGGCATGGGAAAATCCAAGGAAAAGTGACATCAGGAATAGGGTGTTTTATTATCTTATATAACAGGAAGTCTGAAGGCAGAACAAGTTCAGGGAATTGAAAGGTCAGTGAACAAGATTATAATTCAGCTTCTCTGTGATTTTCTTGTTTTTTACCTTGTGAGTGTAAATTAGCAACTCCACACTTTGCCTTTTCACTCAGCAACATCTAAAAAAACGGTGATTCCTAAACTTCTCTTCCATCTTAAGAGCAAGAAAAATGGTCCTGATAGATTCTCAGTATATTTTGTATCACATACTCCTTCCTGAACTCTTTACTCACAAGGAGAAGGAACACCATAACAAGCTAGATTACTCAACATTCACCTCTGGAACTGAGGCACACTTGGGCTCCCAAATTCTCAACAAAATTAAGAATCTTTTAACCTGAGAAGATATGGAATTGCTTGTTTGGGAGGTAACTAGAAATGTCTGCTTTAAAACCACAGCAAAAACTTTGGTTAGTGAAGATGTAACTAGAAAAATTGCAGCATCAATATGCCTTTAATTTTAGAGTAAATAAATAAACAACATAAAGTGAGAATGCAACTTTGCCCCATTTTCCCTTCCTACTTCCACCACTGATTCACTACCAGTATCTAATTTCTCGGTTTCTTCTCCAACACTTGTTACTTCCCCTCTTTTTTATTTTAAATTTAAAGTCATTCTAAGTGGCTGTGAAGTGATAGGTCGTTGTGATTTTGATTTGCATTTCCCTAATAACTAATGATTTCGGACATTTTTCTATGTTCTGGACAATTATATAATGCCTATGGAAAAGAGTCGGCATCTTTTTGCGCATTTTTAAAACTTGAGTTGTCTTTATTGTTGATTGTGAGAGCTGTGTGTGCGTGTGTAAAGATTTATTTGTCTATGCATACTAGAGCTGGGGTATAGGCCAGAGGTTCAGTGCAGGGGTTTGGTGAAAGGATTCACCAAAGAACAGGTAGATTGCCTGGAGTACACTGCTGAGGGAAGTAGTGGGCAAGACAAGAGAGGTCTGCTGTGCCATGTGGATCAGCTTCCTTGCTGGGGATCAAACACTGAAGTAGCTGCTAATAGCTTCATAGTGCTCTTGTGCCACCAGGGAGACCCGCTTTTTATATATTTTACTAGAAAAATTATTTGTAAATATTTTCTCATAGGTTATCTTTTAGTTTATTGTTTGATGCACAAAAGCATTTAACTTGATAAAGTCAAAATAATGTTTTTCTCATTTTCCTTATGCTTTTTAGGGGCCTTGCACATTTGAAGTGTATCTGTAGGAACGATTCCTTAAAATTCCCAAAATTCTATTTTTGATAAATACACACTATATTTGTACTCCAAAACTTTATATTCCCATTCACTGAGTGTGTTTTTATCCACACCTTCACCCATACCATGTATTCTTTTGTTATTTTTTGACAATCTGGCAAGGAAAACAAGTCTTAAAAAAAAATTTAGTGCATTTATTAGATTGTAATATTTATAATATTTAATATACATTTTTCACCATCACTACCTATTTACATTATTACATTTCCATTTATATTTTTTCAGCCTGAAGTCACTCAAGTATTTGTTAAATGAATGTTCATACCTTTGCCTTTTCTTTTTAATTGGCCACAGCAGATGCTACATTTATGTGTGACAAGCGGTGTAATAAGAAACGATTGTGTGGACGACATAAATGTAACGAGATATGCTGTGTGGTGAGTGTACCTGTCATTAGGTCTGATCAGATTACATTCTGAAAGCCTCAGCCATTTGGAATGCAGCGGAGATTTAGAAGCCACTGGGGAGGGCCCCTGAGCAGCAGAGGGTTGCCCAGAGAGGCAAGTAGGGCCATTTTAAGCATTAGTCAGATTGAGAAGTCACCCACTGGTGCTGTGGAAGAAGATAAAGCAGAAAGATAGAAGGCCTCAGGTCCCAGAACCCAAGACCAATACCTGAGCATACAGTCCCCTACAGGAGATTATGCATTGACCCACAGCACAGATAGGCTTCAAGTTTTGTATCCTCTTAGTCAGGTCAGTAGGCAAAATGTAGCATTTCTGAAAGGAGTACACTTTACATCTGAAATATTCACTTCTGTAGAATAAAGTAAAGGATTAGAGTCAGTAAATACTGTGTTATTGCATAGGTTTAATTAAGATAATGGTACCAGTAGCATGAGTGCTTATATACTCAGGTACTCCTATGTAGGTGTATCTGTCATTTATATAACAAGGTGAAGGATGATGAAATTATACAGTATATCAGAACTTATTTGTAAAACAGTATTTGAAGGCTTAAAGACTTAAATATACATAAAAATAGAGTGAGTCCCGTAGACATCCAACTTCAGCAGTGGTCAACTCAAGACTACTTTAGTTTCATCTGCATTTTCACCTATTTCCTTTGCCTTGAGTATTTTGAAGCTAATCCCACATAGCACTTCATCCAGTAAGTGAAATTTCTTTTTATTAGTCTTGCTGTTTATAAAGTATATAAATTGGAGATATTTGTAAACAAGTAGAAATCTCTTTTCCTAGGATAAGGAGCACAAGTGTCCTTTGATTTGTGGAAGGAAACTCCGTTGTGGCCTTCATAGATGTGAAGAACCTTGTCATCGTGGGAATTGCCAGACATGCTGGCAAGCCAGTGAGTGTATATGTTACTGTACATATACTGTATATGTTATTGTAAGAGTTTCCTAGAAATTCAGGCATAATATGTTTTGAGAGATTGGTTTGATTAGATTGGTATGGATTACTGAAATAAATTTTAGTATTTCGTATGAGATTTTCTTTTTTCTCTTAAGCTATTCCTAGTATATTGTCCTTGAATGTATAAAATTTGATATATGAGCAGGTATGATTCTAGGATGGGGTCTGGCTCATTAATGGCTGCCTCTTTTTACTATCTGTTTCATAAATATTCACCCAGTTTCTCTCCTCAGCAGGCTCTTTTCTCTGGTCTTATGAGCAGATTCAAACTTTTTGGTTTTAGAACTCATGTACTGTTGTTGTTGTTAATTTTTGT